GAAGGCCAGTTTTCAAGCAGAGCAAAGCTCAACGAGTCATTGATAGTTGAATATGAGGGGTGTCTACTGTCTGTGTTCACCTTGATAAAATATACAAAGGACATGCAAGTTCTCTGCAAATGAAGCGACCACTCATTTGACAGAGGCTTCTGACAGAGGCTTTCTACGGGGGTGGTGCAAAAATCACCCATAGAAAGACGGATTCACAAATGGGCAGGGGCACGCATATGCAAGGTGCTTGGTGCTGCTGACTGATATATTATCACTCCATAATCTAGGCCCGTTCATTTAAGGCTTTTACAAAGATTCATCAGGCACTTTTTATCACTGGTCCATCATGACCGTGACAAAACCTTCAGTATATTCATAGCTTATTGGTTTTGAGATTTTTCATGTGGAGTAGGAATGTCAATTTTTTTTGTCTAAAGTAATGCCAAAAAATTTCTGTTCAGATTTCACTAGTAGCCGCTGACCGTGTAACTCAATGTCGGTATCAGGGTGGAGACCGTTGCTTTTGCGAATAAAACGCACATGGCTTTTTTGTGGGTTAAAGGTGAACTGATTCTCGTCTGCTCACTTGCTTACCTTATTCAAGCCAAGTTGAACCTGCCGCTCGCACATAGCGAGCATGCATGATTTGAAACATACCTGCAAATCATTAACATATGTGCAATAGAACATATGACGCGGAATGCACGAATGCAGGGTATTCATTTTTATAATAAGAAGTGTGCAACTCAGCACACCACCTTGTGGCACTCCAGTCTCCTGAACAAATCTTCAAGACAAGACATTCCCCACTCAGACTCGGAAAGTGTGATTGGACAAATAACTTTGGATTATGTTCTGCATGTTACCACGAACACCGATGTGTGAGAGAACTTGCAGAATACCAAAGTGTCACGTGGTATCGTACGTCTTTTCCACATCGAGGAACACTGAGAGCAAGAACTGTTTGTGAACAAAAGGGTCGATACTCACCAGGTGGTTGATGGTGGATCTTCCTCCATAAAAGCTGCACTGCTATGGGTCAATTAGACTCTATGTTTCGAGGAGGTGAAATCGTAAGTCGGCAATTTATCATCTTTTCGAAAAGTTTACACAGACAGCTTTTTAGCATGATTAGTCTGTAGCTCGTAACGAAGGATCGATCCTTGTCTTGTTCCAGAATAGGAATGACAATGACCTATTTCCAAGTAGAAGGGATGTCACTGGGAAACCAGACGGCATTGTACAGGGAAGTAAGGTTTTTGCATTTCGACGGGTAGAATTTTTAACATTTCATAGACCACACAGTCAGATCCTGAGGCGGAATCGCTGCAGCAGCTAAAAGATGCCTAAAGCTCAACTAAGAAGAAAGGTTGGTAGTATGCCTCTTATTTTTGTAAACTCGATATCAAGTTTCTGTTTCTGCATTTTCGTCTTCTACCGTTGGAACACTTGAGAGTAGTGTGACGAACTGGAAACCTGCTCGAAGTTTGCTCCTGGGTGGTTTGCCTAGTCTTCGAACTGTCGCCTTGTGTGCCAACCAGAGGGAGTGAATATGCTTGTTTTCCTTCTACCCTTCTCTTCCCTTGTTCCATACTTTACCCTCTTCTTTATATGAAGCAATGCCCGATAAAAGCTTATGTCAACTTTCTTTTCTTGCCTGTCGGCGCGTCCTCCTTCTTTGTGACTTATTGTTATTAAAGTTTATAAGATTCTCGGACATCAGTGAGTCTGTAAACAACTTCCATGCCTTGATTTGTTTTTTCAGTGTATTAAAGCACTCAGTAGTCTATCATGGAACACTTCGCTTGCCTGACAGTTCACTTGTTTCCGGAATACATTTGGTTGCAGCATCAACTAAAAAAGCTATGAAGTAGTCCACAGCAGCGTTTATGCTTAATGTCCCCATATCTGTTGGGAGAGTAATTTTTAAAAATTGTTCCCAATTAGCCTTTTCGATGAGCCATTTGGGAGCCTGTCGACGACGTTCAGGAAAGTGGTCACTTCTGAATTAATTATTATGACTATCCATTTGAGTAGAGCAAAAAGCAATGGAGATATAATGCTAAGGTCTATGGACAAGTATGTGTTCCTCACAATGTTGTAATATGTTGCTGTCTTCCGATTCAAGAGACATGCGCCAAGAGAGAAAAGGAATTATTCAATTAGACGACCTCGTGCATCGCAGCAGGAGTCATTGCACAAACTGCTATGTGCATTGTAGTCTCCAAGGAGAAAATATGGTTCTGTAAATTCATTAGTTAGCGACTGGAATTCGAGTTTATTTTGTTGACGGCGTAGAGGTATGTAAATACAGCAAATTGTGACCAGTTTGTTAAGCTAATGTCTCGGACAGCTACTGCTTCCAGGGATGTCTGAAGGGGCAAATGTGTACAGGCTGTTCCTTGACCACCGGTTCACGCGACCACATCATATCAGTCCTTTCGAAAAATATTGTAAATGCATAAGGATTTGGTGTGTTTTGGTTTTAAGTGTGTTTCTTGCACACACAACACTTTTGATGTATGTTTGTAGAAAAACTCTTGGATATCGCTGAGGTTTCTCAGTGGTCCTCTGATGTTCCAATGTAGTATTTGCCTAATTTTTATGTTGTGTGGTGCTGCACGTACAAGAAGTGTTACCTTAGTTTGCAGGGCCTTTTAAGAGTCCGGTAATTCGATGTTTTTCTGCTCTAAACAGCTGCACCTATCCTTCGGCGTATGAGGCGCCGGAAGAACCAGACTTGTATCCATCACATCTTGCGAGGTGGCAGAGGGTGCCTGCTCGGCAGCACATTCACGGTGGTTTCGGACCTCACTGCGCTTGCAGTGGCCCGGGGTCCGGCAGAAGCAGTAGTCTACCAGCCTTGATTAGTTAGAAGCAGCGCAGTACAGGCTGCTCCAGCCAGAGCCATGGTGGCGCGGCCGTGGTCACACTCAGTGTAACTTTCACACGGACGCAGAAAGATGTGGCGCGGCACTCCGGCACGTCACATCAGCACAGGAGGGAATGGACTGATGGAGAGAGAGCAGTTTACGTGCTTCTTGAAAGGACAGATTGAATTTCACTTTAAGCTGAAAGATTTCTTTTTCCTTTTTCCAGTTCGGGCTTGGTCTCGAGTAGGCAGGATGGTCTTTTTTACAATTCACACAACAGGCTGTAGAAGTAAAAGTTTCTGGCGAGTGCTTATTGGATGTATATTTTGCGCAAGTAGGGCACCCCCTGGAGCTTTGTGACCCATGTCCAAAGCGCTGGAATGTGAAACATCAGCGAGGATTTGGCATGTAGGGCCTGACACGGACTTTACAGCAGCTGGTTTCAATTGATTCTGGTAAGTCGCCAGTACCAAAGGTGATAATTATGTGTTTGGTAGGTATTTCCTTATTGTCTCATTGTATAATTATGCTCTTGACCTTGTCTACATTCTGGTCTTGCCAGCCTTCTAATAATTCACTTTTGGAGAGTTGAAGAAGGTCGTCATCAGAGACCACACCACGTACTGTATTGATTGACCTGTGTGGGCCCACTGAAACTGAAACGTCCCCAAATGCTACGAGTTTAGATAAGTTGTCATATTGGAGCTTGTCGCGTACCTCCACAAGGAGGTCGCCGCTTCCCAACTTGGTTACTTTATAGCCTGGGCCAATTGCTTCTGTGAGTGTTTTAGAGACGAGAAAGGGTGAAATTGACCGGACAGTTTTATCGTCTTTCTGACGATGCACAACATAGTATCTGGGGAAAGACTGCTCTGAGTTAAAAAGTGTGAACTGTTATTTGGTGTGCCACCTTTTCAGGTGCCAATCAAGCAGTACGAAAAGAAGTGCGCCCTACATGGAATATAATGTTCAGCAGCCATGATGGCCACCGACCACCAAGCCCAACAAGGGAACACTGCAAGGTAAAACGCTTGAAAGTGCCAGCCATGCATCACTGCTATAACCGAATATAACAACTCAAGGTTGGGCAACTACACAAGGTTAACCCTCACCACCAGGAAATTTGGAAGTAAACTGTAGAGGGGAGAAGACAGGAAATATAAAAAGTGAAAGAGAAAAATGAAACGAGGGGAGAGAGAGAGAGATAGGAAAAGGTGGGTCAGCCCAGGGGTGCCATCTACATGAAGCCGGTGACAAAGCGATGTGTTGCCTCTGCTGGGGGGCCTTGAAGGTCCAATCATCAAGCATCAGCTCAACCCCCAAGACCCCTTTTTCACCAGTAACAGCTAAGCCACACACAGTGAAGTGTGGGAAGGAGACGAAACCCCCCCCCCCCTGTTGGCTCGGGTTTGTGGTGTTACCACACACCAGATGCCTGCAAATGCAACACCCCTGCGGGGACCTGAAATATCGGGATTTCCCATATTAAAGTAAGCATAAGCACTACTTCTCCTTTATGTTGTCCTGTCTCGTTGCACTACTTATAATGCATTTATATGTGACTGACATCACTTTTATTTTCACGAAGGTGGCCTAGAGAATGGCAAAATGAACTCACGACACAACAGCCGTGTCAGTAGCTCTTGTCAATAGCTGCCCATGTGGTGACACTAGGCAAAGTGCTAGGCACCCAAGGAAAAGGGTTTTCCGGAAGATTACTGCTGCTGCTGCCGATGATGATGGTAGGTGCAAGCAATGGAGGATTTCAACACAAGAATTCACCAGTCCCTCACTATGACAAAGCATCGTGGTCACTGTGGAATAAATCACATTATTAGGAAACGTCAAACATTGAAAGTAGTGTTACTTGGCATTTTTTACACTAAAGATATAGACATTTTGGTATTTTCTTTCAATTTGTAAATTGAAAAATTGCGTAGCTAGGCATTCATAGTACAAGTATTTCACTAAATGTGCACCCATTTACAAACACACCTTCTGCTACTTAGCTATCCACAAGATTCGCTAAAACATATTAGAGTGCTTAGAAGTGAAGAAAAAAGTGGGCATTCAAATGAGAACACCCTTATGAAGACCTCAGCAGTATTTCTAAGAGGAGGATGCACGTGGACCTACTCAGCCAGCTGTCTCCGCCACGCCACAAAGCTTTCCTTCTCCAGGGCGTGGAGTTCCTCGGCACTGGTGCTCTCGTCCCAGGGAGGCCTGCAATACACATTCCGCACGTCAAAGCAATGCCCCAATGCAAGTGAGCAAGTAAATACTAAGTGGATTGCTTCCTAAAAGTGTTCTTTGTTGTACTCACTTCAAACAAAATTGCACTAAAAGACAGGCCATGCACAGCACTGGACACAACTGCATAGCCAGTCATTTTTTGCACTGCTGCTTGAAATGAGCACCAAACACTTCACAAATCTGGTCTCCACAGGTAGGACTGTATTCAGAGATTCACTAATACAACAGACAACCATTTGCTCACATTGAGTGGCAACTGCCTAGAAGTCTGAAAAAAAAAAAAATAATAATAAAGGATCCCTCAGATATTCTTATGAGATGAGAGCACGAAAGCATTTTTTTTTGCTTGCAGTCTTTTTAGCTTGGGTTATTAGCTTATGCTTCCATGTGACCAGATCAGCCTGCGTACCCTCCAGCGTCTGGCCAGTCTATGTAACACATAGACAAGAGCCCCACCAGGGCAATGTTTCCCGCCAATAAATCTATACCAGAGTGTGACATCACCACCACACGTGCAAGGTGGCAGTTGGCAAAACACCCCCACTGGTGGCTGAGCGTGGTCAAGTCGCACGATGCTTGGGGAAATTTTTTAGGAGCTTGCTCTCTATGCTAGGGGCTTCTTCATTACTGCAGCCACTCCCTCGATGATGCTGATGACAATGAAAAACAAGCATGTTCTAGAGAATACATTCTCTTTCTGCCATCACAGCACAGCGCAAGCAAGGCCTTCATGACAATAATGATGATACACCCACTGTGCCACTATGCCACTCATCGTTCTGCTGATAAGCGAGGTACCCGCTATACATCTGTAAGGCTATCTCCAGTGCTCTCTAGATGGCACGTAGGTGCTCAGGCGGTGCTTCCTTGTATGTGAACTTGTCATGAACACCCAAAAGCCAAGGCAGCAAGTGCAGTGAAGAGCTCGGAATGCAGCAGCAGCACAGGCTCCCCGCCAAGACCTTGCAGTGGAAGCTCGCAAGGCCGAAGAGATGCATAATGTTGCCTTTTGCTCTCTGGTGCATTTGCATAGACATTGCCTTCTCGAACTATCCACTTTTACTAAACACAACGCGTTTGAAATGCGTTTTGTTTAGTAGCACAAACACATTCCAAACACACTGCCTTGAGGCAGTGAGCGTCACCACAAGGCCTTGACTATCGTGTCATGTCTATATTATGATTATTGAGCAGTCGTACAGGGGATTCACGGCTTATCAGATTTAGCATCTGGAGCAAGCTCCTTCATCATTCACTTTGTGGATATGCAAAAATTACTCCCTAGCACACACCCTTGCTCTTTATTTCTTCTTTAAAGCTCGAACGAGACAGCATGTCGACACTGAATTTCACTTCTACTGCTAAACAATGTGACGCCTGTGTGATGCAGGTTTAAGGTTGAGTAAATTGTTGCTCAGAGAGAAAGCCTCATAGCTAAGAAATGACGAAGCCGTTTAAAATAAGAAAAGAAAAGTAGAAACCTTAAGCATAATTAAGAGAAAAAAAAAGAGATGAAGTTGCAATGTACAGGCACCGAGTCTACAGGCTTCCAGCGTTGGTATTTTATTGAGTTTCATCAACTGTATAGGGGAATCTAGATGTTTGTATTTTTCAAATATAAATCTCACTGCGTAAAGCATTGAGGTTCATATCATGTTCTTTACACAGTGAGATTTATGTCTTGGTCATGTTTCTCCCACGATGTTGCGCATGCCGACAAGAACTTAGTGAGGGTGAAGAACGTGTGGGCTGCAAAGATTGTAAATTTCTCTTTAATTTGAATGAGTGCTCTAGCGTTTCAATAGAAATGTTTGTCACAAAGCCTAAAGCAAAAAAAGGCGTGGAAATGGCAGTGTAGTAAGAGCAAAGACAAAGTAGTCAAGCTGACTCAGACAGGCAAATGGCAAACAAAACAGTGGCAGACCACTTAGTGTTAGTGAATCAGAAGATAGAGGTACTTCTTAGTTTGCCTGACAAACAGGGAGCACTGAAAACCTCTGTGCAAATGCCCTCAGATAAGTTTGATGAAGTAAACACATGCTTGCATGTGCAAGAAAAACTGGCTAAAGACCTGACGACAATCTTGAAAAAGAGAAAACTGGCGAAGCTTTGACAGAGACTAGATGAGATATACAGCTAAACCCTTTTATACGAGGCATGCTCCAGGTAGCAATTTTTGTCTTTTATATAAGATGTCTCTTGTAAGCAGGATACCTCGTATACATTTTCTTATCAACTGGTATTTTTAACTATAGACACACTGGTGTCTCTTACACCCATTTGTCTCTTATATCAGTCTCTTTTATAAACCGGTATGATTATAGGCGATTTCAAATTTTGCAATCGTCGATTAAACCTGGAAATACATAGTATCACAGAAAGCGATGAAAAGAATCTCTCGACTAAGGTTAATGTCATAGCCAAGAAATTGAAGGTGCCACCTGTGACATATAACGATGTTATGAGTCTACATTGGCTACATGTGGAACCAGGAAAGACGCAACGTGTTATCGTTAATACTGCCTTATTTGTACAACTGTCTTGTTGCTTTTCTTTTTCCTGTTCATTTTCCTCTCTAAGCTAAAAGAGTAGTCTTTCTTATCGTTTTACTGTGGTACCATACAAGTGGTACTGCACTTATGCAAATTGTGAATGACCCAATGCACAACCGCAACTGCTGTCTGGGTGATGTAGCCTGGTCAGGCACCTTTCAAGCCTTACAAAATATTACAGGCCCATTCAGGACCCAAGCAGGAGTGGACACATACATAGGTAATAATAATAAACGACATGCATTGGAACAATGAAATAAGTAAAATGTACATGAATAAATATACAGTTAAACCTGGATATAATTAAATTGAAAAACTCCTGGAAAATTTTGTTATGAAGAAAATTTTTTTATATGCAGGTTCGGCCCGAAAATCTGAAAAATAAACGCACAAAGTTGACAAGAAAAAAATTGAGGGCCGAGCTAACCCAAAAACACTTATTTAGAAGGAAAAAACTGCATTATTTCTTCGATAGATTTAAATGGAAACTCTCGGCAGGTTTTTGCTGTCACCGCCATGTTTCGTAACAAGCCTAAATTCATAACCTGTCCCCGCGCATCGTAACTTTTACGAGCGAGTAAAAGCGCACGAGCTCTGCTGAAGCAGAGATCAAATGAGCTGGCCCATCTCTATCACCTGGAAGGTGCATAACATCTCCCCACGTGTTAGAAGTGTGGTCAAATGCTCAAACAAAGACCACCCCTGTCTTGAACGAATATCAAAAAATGTGGGGAAGGTGGGGTGTGGGGGGCTCGAGTAGTGACAGTGAACTTTGATTTTAAGGCGCCCGCGATCACATGAATGCGTGCTATCTTGGCAAGCATTAGTGCGCTTTCAGCGCGAATTGACTGTGTGAAGAGAGCACTTCTCCCTGGAACAGCTGTGTTTGCTTACACCAGCGTTTTGTAGAAGTTCTACAATATTTGATCCAAAAGAGTTGGCTGCCAGCCTTCGTATAACATTACAATTTCTTGCTCTCACATTCATGGCATTGCATTCAATGCACCTCGTGTTGTTGCCAGAGCTAATAGGCTAATTGCGAAAACTACGCGCCTGTGAACTCACGGCACAAGACGAAAGTGTGTAATGAGCCGACCTCCGAAGCTCCGTCATCACAGTGGCCTAAGAGGGTTTCTATCATTGATTATTCTAAGATCCCCTGAATAGGGACGACACAGTTGTCCGCATTCAGAAAAGAGAAAGGAAAGAAAAAGGAAAGCTGAACGTCGTCAAGGGCCACACCATGCATGCGCAGTGAAACCGTGTACGGCGTCGAAAACGAAGACAAACGACATGGATACCGTAGAAAACTATTCAGTAAAGTGCTTTCCATATTGCCATGCTTTTTCCTCAAGTTTCCTGATTGCCGCATGACAAATTTATATCTTGCTTTGCGCAACCACGCGCATTGACTAAAGAACCATCGAGATAACCATAGAACATTCCAATGCTATTATACCCACAACAGAAACATTACAAATTTCTTTGAAACATACTAGTGACAGCGCTGAATATTCGATGGCAAATGTATAAATGCTGATGCGCGTCATCGCGAGTAAGTTGATCGACGACCAAAGCTCAGTTCACTGCTCTCAGTTCTAGTGTGTATCGCTGTAATTGGACTTTTTGTTGACCAGCCACACGTTCAACCTAATTAGCAGTCTGATCTTCGAACTACAGTCTGCTCTCTTTGTCGGCGTCACAACCCCATGACATTTGGTGGAGGTCCTTCCCGGTCAACGTACCGAATGCCCCCCTTCGAGCTATGTACCCAGCCTAAGCCGCGCATAAGACACCGACACTATCAGCAACAGTCGAGCCAGCCCCCAATTACCAACCTTTATCGCACAAGACAAAAGCCACGGCAACGACTACAAGAGGCACAATGACAGCCGCAGCGTCTCCTGCAGCGGTAGTGATGCAGCAGGCAAAAGAGCCACCGACTTTCCGCGGATCGTCGTTGGAAGACCCGGAGACCTGGTTGGAGACCTATGATCGAGTAGCCGCCCTCAAACACTGGGACACGGAAGAAAAGCTGCATCGCGTCTACTTCTACCTGGAAGACGCGGCAAGGGGCTGATTTGAGAATTGGGAGTCTGCCCTTCAAACATCAGACCTCTTTGGTGGCACATTCATGAACACATTCAGGAGCATTGCTCGAAAGAAAAAGGCCGTCGCCTTGCTGGAGACACGTGTGCAACTCCCTAACGAAAACATTACCATCTTCGCCAAAGAGATAGCGTGGCTGTTCCGTCACGCTAATCCTGCCATGGCTGAAAATAATAAGCTCCGGTTCCTGAAGCAAGGAGCGAAGCAGGAGCTTTGTGTTGATTGATTTGTGGGGTTTAACGTCCCAAAACCACCATATGATTATGAGAGACGCCGTAGTGGAGGGCTCCGGAAATTTTGACCACCTGG